AGCTCCCCAGCTTAGGGGACGTGATGTCCTTGTTCACGGGGGCCTGATGGCCCTGCTCTACTCAGCTGTGTTATGGGTCTCGTAGTTGGAACCAAGGATTAGGGCTGCTGATTGGGAACTGGGTCCAATCCCAACCCTGTGCATCCATCGCGATTTTTATCCCAGTCACCTTAAGAAAGTGTGAACTACGACCTGCAGGCAAGTGGCTCCTAGTGTATTTTATTTTTGCAGAACCAGGGATTGAACTCAGGCCCTTGAGCTTGCCAGAGAAGCGCTTATTCTACTGAGCTATCTCCCCGGCTCTCCTAGTGTATTTAAATAGTTCGCTGCTGCCTTTACTCAGCCTGCACCAGGGTCACTCAGCACCTAGGAGGCCACCACTTTGACCATGGCGAAGAAGCAACACAGGCAGCTCCAAGGACAGGAAGTCCTTCTGCGGAGGATCTCCTACCCAGGTCCACACAGAATTGCCCAAGCTCCTTGCACCACGGTGGGAGATTGCATCAGAAAGTAAGCCCAGGAAAACGCTCCTGAGTTACGACACCCTCCAGGTGTCCCTTAAATATGGCAAGTCTCCAGTGTGTGGCTGCTGGCTCTTCCTGAGACCAGGGACAGAGCACCGCTGTCTGACCACCCCTGCGTGCCCAGCTTTAGTCCAGAACTGTAAGTAACGAAAGCCTCTTTGGCCTTTGCCTGTGCTTCTGTCCTGGGAGCTGGGCTGGCACCTGACCCTGGGAGGCTGCGCAGAGCCTGGGGTTGTGTGCGTCTGTGGGGTTCTCAGTGCCTGCTGAGGATACCTGCAGCCTGCTGAGGCCACGGGCAATGTGGACGGCTGTGATCAGAGAAGGTGTGACCTCACCTCCAACCCTGTGGGGCTAACAACAGCATCGTCCACCCTTTTAGTTTTAGAAATGATTGTACACAAGTTTCTGACCAAGCTATTGGCTGCTGTTGAGTTGTTGGTTTCTTTCATGTTCTGGAGATTAAGCGCAAATCTGCCGCTGCCTGCTTTTCCTTCTCTGACTTCTCGCGGGCTCCGGCTGCACAAGCGCGCTGATCTGATGCGACCCCACTGGTCTGCTCTGCAGTGGAGCCCGGGGCCCGCGGTGGCCAACACCAGAAGTCTCGGCTGGGAGCTGTGTCCAGAGCTACCTCTGCCTCTTCCCTCAGCAGCTGCTCTATGGTCTCCCGGGTCCTGCACAGCCATTAACCATTTGGACTCAGATCCAGAGCCAGGTGCACACAAACACCTAACCAGCAGGTAGTTGAGTTCAGGGGAACACAGCGAAATGCTCATTCCTACCTTCAAAACATGGAAAAGACAAGCACGGTGAAGCGGGAGCGTAGCAGCTGCCCAGGGTCCCCCGACCGTCTTGCCCAGAGCCTGATACTGTCATGGAGATTGTACACTTGCTGCTAAGGGACGCTGATCAACCAACATCTGAAACAGCTCCTGCCAGGGCCGGCAAGTCTGCAGCCCCGCAAGAGACAACTGTCTAGAGCGCTAGGACAGAGATCTCGCTGGGGTCTTCCCTCTCCCGGCAGCAGGGTTCATACTAGAGATGCAGAACCGCGGATGCTTTGCCATATGAATGAAAGCTCAGCTTCCTTCAGGTTTTCATACTCAAAGTAGATGTTCGGTCAAAGGGGAAGCAGAGAATACCTAAAGATAGAGCAGTCTTCACGTCACAGCTGCGCTAACTACACGAGCCCCAGAACACACAGGCAAGGCCTTGCGGAAGCCACGAGTTCACGGCACGCCAGGGACACTGCAGGGACGGCAGCTCTCGCCCAGGCCGTCAGATGCACGCCTCCCTCCTGCACCCGCTGCCTCTGAGCCTGCTCCTGGCAGGACAGTAAG